ACTAGGCTTTTCAATTTGAAACCAGTTCTGAAAAGATTTTCCTTACGGGATTGAGACATGGCTCTAAGTGCCTGCACCCTGCCCAGTGTTGCACTGTGGGGTATTTTTTGTTGTTGTTTTGCAATGAATGCCATCTAGACTGCATTGTCTCTTCCTCCCTCAAAGATTTCCAAAGTGGGTTATCTTTTAGATAACGAACTGGCTGGTAAATGTCCCTGAAATTCTGGGATAAGAAAAAGAGATGTTTCAACCCACTTCTAGGTCCATGCTGCCACCTAGTGGTCCCATGAGGAGAGAAACGGGGATCTTGTGTTAAAGGCCAGAAAACAAGGGGTCTTCGTGGCATAGTGGTTAAAATGCTAGATAACTAACTGAAAGTTTGGCTATTCAAACTCAACAGCCACTCTTCAGAAGAATGAGACAATCTACTTCCCATAAAGATTTTGTTGTTTAGTACCGTCAGGTTGGTTCCGACTCATAGTGACCCTCCATAGGGTTTCTGAGGAGTGGCTGGTGGATTTGAACTGCCAACCTTTCCATTCAAAAAGAGCTTGCAGTCCAGTAATTATCCTACATCACCACACCAGGACTCGTCTTGGAAACCCTTTAGGGCCACTGGTGTGATACTGAAGGACAAGCACTTGACCTAAGGGTCAGTTTGAACCACGAGGTCAGTGATTCAAACGCACCAGACACTCCTCAGAAACCCTATACAGGGAGGGTCACTATAAGTCAGAACTGACTCGACGGTACATAACAACAATAGCAGCAGGTCACTGGAGTCATGGTGTAGCACTATAGGATAAAGCACTGGACCACAAGGTCAGTATGAACCACAAGGTTGGTGGTTCAAACCCACCAGGTGCTCCTTGGAAACCCTATCTATACAGGGTTGCTATGAGTCGGAACGAACTCAACATGACTTAACAACATAGGGCCATTATGAATCAGAGATGGCAGTGGGTTGGGTTTGGTTTGGGACAAAAATCCTTGATGCAAATTTGCCCATGCATCAGTCAGATCGTGAGCTGAGAGATTCACATACAGTATCTCAGCTACCTTGCAACAACCCCAGGCAGGCAGAATTCTCATTCCTATTTACCAGATGAGAAAATGAGCTTATAGTAAAGAGCCTGTTTGATTCTTGATTGGGTGAATAAATGAATGAATCAATCAGTAAATGAATGCAGGCTTAATTAAAGTGCACTCTTTCCAGAGTTACACAGGACCCCCTGGTGGCACAGTGGTTAGGTGCTTGTCTGCGAACCTAAAGGTCAACAGTTCAAACCCACCAACTGTTCCACAGTAGAAAGCTTCAGTAAAGATTGACAGCCTTGGAAAATCCTGAGGCAATTCTACCCCGTCCTATAGAGTCATGATGAGTCAGAACCGACCAGTGGGGTTAGTTTTTGTTTTTTCATTTGGTCCAATTCAGTTTTCAGAGTTATGAAGTGTTTACACTGGATTCAGATGGTTCGTTTGTGACGGAGATGAACTAGCTAACATTTCCTGAGCATTTGCTTTGGGTAGGCATTCTGAACACTCCATACATATTTATTTACTTAAATCTCATATAGTACCCTGTTGTAGTTCTCTAGTGCTACTATAACAGAACTTTCACAAGGATTTAACAACCAGAAATTTATGTTCTCACTGTTTAGAGACTAGGAGTCCAAATTCAGAGTGCTGGCTCTTGAGGGAGGCTCTTTTTCTGCCCTGGGGAAAGGTCCTTTCAGAACCTGTAAACCCAGTATCGCTTGGAAATATCCATACATCTTGGCTTCACAGTGCAGGTCCAAAAGATATACTCCACTCCCGATCTTCTCTTGGTGGTAGTAGGTCTGAACTCAGCTCATTTCTCTCTCCTTTTCTAATATTCATTACTTTTGAGTTTATGTCATGGATCTAAACCTCCCACCTTTGTAGGGCAGGCATCACCTGGTTCTTCCTTCCTACACCCTCCAGTCTGTGACTGGGTGGGCAAATCAAATCAAAGGAAGCAGAGAGCTTCACTTATACCTTTAGTCCAACTTTGGTTGCTCCAAAGCAGCTTTCCTCCTACTGGAGGCTACCTGGTGGAGCCATCTGGGAATCACTGGTTCTGGGTCATCAAAAGGCATCTAAAGCAGCCCCATCTACTTCAGGTGCCTTTGTGATTCTGTAGGTGGGCACTGAGGGGTCAGGGCAGGGCACCGAGCACATACCTGAGGGTTGTGAGAGATCAGAGCTCACCTAGGGCTCCTCCTGTATCTGTACCTCACTGATGGAGAGCTGGAAGAGCTTTGACAGACCAGCGTTCCAAGCCTGACTCTGTGATTGTGGGTAAGGTACTTTACCTCTCTGAACTTCCATTCCTGTGCCTACTATTGCTAAGCAAATCATCTGAGAAGCTGGATTATATGAAGAAAAAAGTGGCATCAGAATTGGGGGAAGACTCATTAACAACCTGAGATATGCAGATGATACAACCATGCTTGATGAAAGTGAAAAGAACTTAAAATACTTACTGATAAAGATCAAAGACCACAACAGCCTTCAGTATGGGTTGCACCTCGATGTAAAGAAAACAAAAATCCTCACCACTGTACCAATAAATAACATAATGATAAATGGAGAAAAGATTGAAGTTGTCAAAGACTTCATTTTGCTTGGATCAACCATCAATACTCATGGAAGCAGCAGTCAAGAAATCAAACGACATATTGCATTAGGGAAATCTGTTGCACACAACCTCTTTAAAGTGCTCAAGAGCAAAGATGTCAAGTAAAGATGTCAAATAAGGTGAACCTGATCCAAGCCGTGGTATTTCCCATCATCTCATAGGTATGCGAAAATTGGGCAATGAATAGGGAAAACTGTAGAAGATTGATGCATTTCAGTCATGATATTGGAGGAGAATATTAAAAGTACCATGGACTGCCAAAAGTACAAACAAATCTGTGTTGGAAGAAGTACAGCCAGAATGCTCCTTGGAAGTCAGGATGGCTAGTTCATCTCTCATACTTTGGACATATTATCAGGAGGGACCAGTTCCTGATGAAGGACATCATGCTTGGCAAAGTGGAGGATCAGCGAAAAAGAGGAAGACCCTCAACTAGATGGAATGGCATAGTGACAACAGCAATGATTGTGAGGTTGACCCAGGACCAGGCAGTGTTTCGTTCTGTTGTGTATAGGGTTGCTATGAGTCAGTACCGATTTGATGGCACCTAACAATGATAACAAAATTTCACAAGATGATCGTGAGGATGAAATGAGATTATGCATGTCTACTTTGCCTCCCTTAGTGCCCAGCATACTGTGTGCACTTAATGTGGCTGCTCTTATGAAGCCTGGGGAGGGATATTGGGACTCTGGGAAAGGAAAACAAGCCCCTCCATTTTCTGTCTCCATTTGAGCTCTGCACTGGATTTTCCTGACACCTGGCAAATTCTAAACACTTAGGCATCTCCAGCCTCCCTCACTGAATTTTTCTGGGAGAGCAAGGCAGCTTCTCTAGTAACAACTGACCTAAGGCTACAGGAACCTGGTTCCTTCCTGGAATCGCTGTGTGTGTGTGAGGACTACATTGGTTAGCTCCCCTCAAGTCTGCTTGGATGCACAGCAGCCTCACATCTAACAGAACAAAACGTGGCCTGGTTCTGTATCATCTTCAGGGGTCATTGGTATATTTGAGTCCATTGTTGGGCCCGACCAGCCTCTGTTGTTAGGTGCTGTCCAATCGTAATGACCCCATGTGACAGAATGGAGCTTTCTAGATTGTAGTCTTTATGAAACCAGATTGCTTGGTCTTTCTCTTGCAGAGCTGCTGGGTGGGTTTAAGCTAGCAGCTGAGCACCTAACTAGCAGTGTCACCTGAGTTATTAAGCCTAAAAAGTGCTTTGAATTCGTTGCTGGGATTCCAAAACCCAGAGCTTTCATCTGACACTTATGTCTACGCTCTGGCCTTGGCAACAAGCAATTGGAACTGGGTACCAGCGCCCCCTACAGTTGGGCATGAGTATTGCCATCCTTGCCTTGGCTACAAGGTCCTTCCTGAGTGGGACTCTGCCACTCTGCCCTCATCCCTACCACACTCCCTCACTCATCCTCACTCATCTGGGCTCTTACTCATTGCTGAGCTTCACACATGCTCCTGCATTAAAATCTGCCCTTGGTCTTTCTGCCTGGAACATTCCCCTAGGGGATGTTGTCACACAGCTATCACCTTCAACCTCCTCCTACACGTTTCCTTGAATTCTTATCACGTCAAGAAATCTTAATCAAGAAAGGCTGTCCTGTCTTCCTCCACTCCTCCCTACTGTTTTTCCCCTTAGCAGGTGACCTTCTAAGATACCATATTATAATTATTTTTATTTATGATATCTCTCCCTGACTCCTAATCCTAAATTCTTAGAAGTGCTCATATTTCTTGGGTATACACATTTCTAGAGAAAACCATGGCTTTGATCAGCTTTCAAAGAGTTTTGTAATCCAAAAGCCATTAAAAAATAATAACTTTCAAGGATTAAATTACTTTGGGGGAAAAAACCAACACAACTTACTGTTTGTTTTCAAAGAGCCTTTCTGAGCAGAGAAAGACACAGCAACAGAATTGAATACATGTGCTCTTGGTTTTGTCTAATTTCCTCCTAACTTATCGACTGTTCTGGTTTTGCCTGGCTGTGGCAGCATTGAGAGTCCCCTTCCCAGGAGGGCCCCACAGGTCTCCTCCCTGGGGCTCAGGAGCCCTGAAGACCATCAGGATAGCAGCTTCCAGTCCCCATGAATAAGTGTCTCCAGTAGAAGAGGGTCCACAGCACAGAGAGGAGAGAGACCAGAAGTTTTACCACTCAAGCGGGCACCGTATATATGTGCAGTAAGTACTGGGAGCAACAAGAACAGTAGTAAATACAGAACAGAAAATAACCATCTTTGAAATGACAACAAACAGAACACATTATCTAAGCACTAACACCTAAAGAGGCTACTCTACTGCCCAGGCCCTAGTGGGCAGCTCCTCAGGAGAGAGAGGACGACTTCTTTCCAGGCTGCCTGGTCTTCAGTCCTTGTAACTTTTCATCTTTTAGCGCCTTCAAGAATTTATCTGCAGGAGAGCAAAACAAAGATAGCTGTAGAGTTTTTGTTTAGTTTTGGGGTTTTTTCCCTAGCACTTCCAAACCAAGACTTTTGGGATTCTTTTGTGCTCCCTACATGACCCCCAAACCCATTTGTCTGTCATTCAAGTTAGGAGAAAGAAACCACCTAACAGCCAAAACACATTTGATTGGAGAATCTATAATTAAGAAATTCAGGTCTGAGGAAAGCCCGTGTTTCTAGGGATTTCTTTCCATGGCTCTGGAGATGAATTCAGGGATGATTCATTCTCACCTCCCTATGTGATAGGCAGCAGTGTACTTATGGAAAAAACTGTCTATGGCAATTTTAAATTGCTGAATGATCTCTACAGCTGCAGGTGGGAATTGCAATGACCAATAGAAACTGCTCACTGGTGACCGACCGCTTCAACAGGAACCCAGGGCACATCTTTGCCTTAGCTTAGAGATGCCTCTGGTGGCAAAGGGATCACTTTAACTTTTTTATACAATAGTGGAGGTGGTCTTTCTAGAACTGTCTGTACTTCTCCAGTGGTCAAATGCAAAGCAAGCCTTATCCAAAAGAGCTGATGGGAATGACAAAGCTGGCTGGAGAGTCTGTGGCTACTGTGTTCCTTCTGGAAGTAGAAATGGATTTAACAACTTTGCCTTCCAGTACGGAGGAACTAGTCAGCGTGCATACCAGAGGAATCTGCCCACATCCCTACCATAGAAAGCTGTCTTGGTTCAGGTCCCTAAGTCTGTGGTTAGATGGAGGAGTCTAAGGCCCTGGCCAGAGGGTGGGCTTCCAGTGCCAGGCAGGTAGCAGGAAGTTGCCCTTCAGCATAGAGAAGTGGGCTGTCCCCAAAGGTGCTTTGTGAATGCCTTTGAGCCTTCCAGACCTTCACAGTTTCCACCTCCCGCTATGGGCCCTCTGATTCTCATCTACTTCCCCTTCCTCTCATGATAAACACTAACAGAGCGGTGGTCTTTAGTGGATGAGAAAAACACAAGCACACAGAAGTGGTGTATAGTTCAAGATAAGAGTGATAGTGGGTGGGATTCCATGTTTGAGGGCTCAGAGTCCAGAGAAAGGGTTCAGGAAAGAGGTAGGATGGAGTATGGGACAGCAAAGGACTCCGGAAGTACGGATTTGTAGTGATGGTAGGAGTTGGTTGAAATCTATGATGTGGGGAGTCTAGGTTCTGAGGGATGGATTTGATAGAAAGGCTGGCGTGGTGTCTGTGTCCAGGGTCACATTCTGGGATAGGGCATGGATCCAGGAGGAGCCCAGGGCAGGCTAAGGGTGGGCCAGGAGGTCCCGGGAGATCACGCACAGCGCTGGGAGTCGAAGCCATCCCCAGTGATGGTGAGCAGCTCCAGCTCTTTGATCCGGATCTCCAGCTCACACAGCTCCTCAGGGTGAGAGGCAGAGGCTAGCCGGGAGGTTGGGGGTCCAGGCACCAGGGGCGAGGCAGCTGCCTCTGGCCCCGGCGGCGAATAGAAGAACCGCAGGGGCTCGTAGGGGATGGTGGCCAAGCCGGAGGGCCAGGGAGGGGGACAGGGACGCTCGCTGGGGGGACCCAGGCCGGGCGGCGGCGGTGGCAGCGCCGGGGTCGCCTGGGGCAGGGACCGGGTCCCCGCCGCCCCACCAGCCGGCGTCCCGCCTGCCTTCAGAGGCACAAAAAGCTTCTTCCAGATGTTGAAGTCGCTGAGCGGGGAAGAAGAGATGCCTCGGTCATAGAGGGATGGGAAGTAGAGGGGCGGGGCTGGCCGCTGGCTCATCGTGGGGCTGTGGCTACCGCGCCGTCCCTTCGGCATCGTTTGAATGAGAGGCTGCGTGGGAGGAACCCCGCGCCGGGAGACTCGCGCTCCTGCCCCGAGTCTGCAGTGTTCTGAGATTCCACAAGCCACGCCCTAAGGGAGCACAGCCCCACCCTTTCGTCCCAGCCACGCCCAGAACAGGCGGGGCTCTAGGTGACAAGCCACGCCCCAGAACGTGGCCTCGTCCATTCACGAAAGGCCGCGTCCTTGAAGTGCAGAAAGCCACGCCCAGTTGGAGGCAGGATTCCAAAGGTCTACAGTAGGCCCAGTCTCTAGGTTTCCTCCCTTCCACCTGCCATGTCTCAGGAGGCAGACTTCTAGCCTGGCCCCGCCCCTCGACTTTTCCCACTGTCCCTAAATTCCACAAATTACCTTCCCTCGCTGTCTAGGCCTTGGGCACCCAGACTCGCTAGATGACCAAAGTTCTCAGTTCTGGAGATCGTGAAAGATGGCTTCTTTCCCTGAAGTGCCCCCCAACACCCCCTCTGGAGGTAGAGGAAAGGCTGAAGGTTACTGAAGGTGAGCATCATGAGCAAGATGATGTGCAGTAGAAGCCTCCTGGCCTCTGGATTTCACTCCATCACTTCGCCTCTACTCAGGCTGTTAGATGATATCACTCTCCCTGTGATCCAAGCCTGACCTTTTCTGAAAACCAAGCTCGTATCGCCTCCTCCTTGAAGCCACTCCCTCTTTTTATTTTGTAGTTCTTGTTGATAATATACACAGCAAACCATACACCATTTCAGCCGTTTGTACATGAACAATTCAGTGACATTGATTATATTCTTCTTGAAGCTGTTCTTAACTCCGCAAACACCGGACCTCACTTAAACTCCGCAAACACCGGACCTCACTTACTGCTCTCCCATTGCCTGCTGGGGAAACCTTCATCGCTGCAATTGTTCCTGTTTCAAAATGATTCACTTGCCTGCCAGTCTCCTTCACCAGACTCTAAACTCTTTGAAGGCATGACCCTTGCTTTTGTGTCTGCTTATCCTAAAAATAGAATCCAGCATCTGTTATGTGACCAGGGCTGATGGTAGTAGGGGCAGGGAATATAAGGGAGAACAATATCCACAGCATAGTTGGAACTCGATCAATGTTCAACAAAAAGCTTGTCCTTTTTGTCCTTGAGATGGATTTCCGAGTTCTTTGGGGCCCAGATCCCAAACTACCCAAAGCAAAACTCTGAAAAAGGGTCATGAAGAACTGTGTCATCAGAAGTATATGACAGTGTCCTAGACAAGCCCCCTATCTCTCAGTCTCTCTGTCTCTGGAGAATAAGTGAAATGTACTCCAAACTAGCTTAACAAAAAAAGAAAAGAATACAGACACAACTCACAAAATCTTAACAAACATTTAATCGTGGGAACTGAGGTACCATCCTTGACCTCAAAGGCTTTCTGCTTCTCTTCTATTAATGAAATTCGACTCCTGCATCCAGATGCTATTTCTCAGCATAAATTCTTGAGTCCTTAGTCAGCCATTCCGTGTCAGAAACAATGTTATGGGTGCCTAGAAGTGTTTTCTTATCAGGCAGACAGTAAGACTATATCTTTTCTTTTTTCTTGCAATTTAGCTGTGGTCCTATGACTACTTTCTGACCAATAGGATAAGGGTGTCAGTGATATAAGCCATTTCCAGGCCTGGCCAAGACAAAACAGGTTTTATTCTCCTGAAATCCAGATTTCTGGATTTGTGTAATGCTTGTACTAACTTGTTCCCTGGAGTCACTTTCAGATCAAACAACAGCTTAGAACCCAGTTCAGCTAATTTTTTATTAGACATTAGCTTCATTTGGAAAATTATCTATGTGCAACTAGCTTTCAGAAAAGTTGGAACCCCATATTTTTCTTACTATTGCTTATTTTGCCAGGGTCCTGAGTCAGGGTCCCGCCTCAACAAAGGATCGCCTCGGCAAACACGGGGTTTTAACGTGAGTGGGAGATCTAGTAGGCGAAAGAAAAGAGACAGAGACAAAGATTGATGCAAGCCGACAGGCAAGCTAGCACACCAAGCTAGCAGAGCACCAGTCTTTTATTGTCAGAAGAAAGAAATTGACACAAAAGAAAATAATGACAAAAATGTTGATTATTCACTCAAGACAGGATACGAGATCATTCATGTGATACAAGACATAATGATTCACAACTTTGTCCTTAACATATTTTTGGGTACATCATGATTTACCTAATAACCTAAAATTCTTATTTCTATCAAAAAAGTTCAAGCAAGCAATTATAGATTATATATTAACTTCTAGGTCTGTGTAACCTAGGGCAGCAACTTGCGGTTTCTTAGAAGGTGTTTAACATATTTTCAAAACTTAATCACAAGTGGGTAAAGGTGAGAGGCTTTAGAGTTTTTACTAAAGACTAAGTTATACTTTCCAAAGAAACTTAAACTGCTTCTGTGTCTTTTGCAGGCAAAAAAATACATGCTTTTGTTAGTGAACAAGATTTCAGATACCTAGCTTCCATTGTTAAACTAATGATTCTTTTCTCCTTGCTTCTACAGTTATAGGGAAGGTGAAAAACAGGTTTTGACTTTTCTAAGTAGGTACAGTTTCACTTTTACATACTTTTAACTCTGTTCTGATTTCTATATCTAGATATAACAATGTTCATTACTATTATATTCCCAATATATCTTCGGGGGAGGGGGGGAAGAGGAGCATCTGGATTAAGTTGATTATACCCGGAGGTGGTTTGGGGGTGCATAAAATTATCACATACAGCAAGATTCCCATGAAAAACATCAAGAGCATAACAAACATACACAGGGGTGTTTCCTGGGGGTAACTACTCGTTTCAGTGTGATTATTGTACATGGACATTAACAGCTCATGTATTTGTTTAACTGAATAATTGGTTAGAAAACAATTGTTACATATTCTCTGCATTGCTACATCCTGTTTTGCTGTACTTTTATTTCTCATAGTCTCACGCACAACTCTTGTTACTGGGGCAGTAACATTTACATGAGATCCATTGATCAGAACGTTGTGCGTATTATTACTGAAAACAATCACTTTCCCAGAAGCTACAATTACCAGAGTTAAGAGCATAAAGAACAAGTACAGAATGCACAAAAGTATAATTAAAGAAAATTGCACAGAGGTGGCCAAACAGTGAGTTTGCCAAAGCCTAGGAACCCGGGACTTCAGGGAGTTACTTCCTTGGCCCTCGGGGTCCATGGCCCGTAAGCCTGAGGAGGGCTCAAAGACTGGATTTTCGTCCATGTTATCCTTGTGCCTCAACTTCTCAGTGCTGATTACATATGCTGTGGCCGACAGCATTATTTATTTGTGTTGTTCTGCTTTATTATTTTCTTTTTTCACTGTTGTTTGCTTGGTTGTTTGATATTTGTTTTTTCTGTGTGTGTATATTTTCTCTTCTTGCCCCACCTGACAGGAGACAGCAACTGTGCCCATACAGCCCAACCACAACTGTACCCTCTTCAATGCCACCCACTGGACAAGAGCCACTACCATATCGTATACCACTTGACCAATGATAAACAGAAGACAACACCAGGCAAACCTACTCTAAACTGAGTTGCATACACATCAAATTGAAAACTGCACACACACTTCCATCTCTAATCATACCCACCAGGTTGTTGAATGCCTAAGAATACAGCAACAAGCAATCATCAATTAATTACAAGTACAATAGCATCACAATGTCTCAGAGACAACAGACAATTCCAGATTACATGATGAAGCAAAACAGAGTGGCTCAAATAAGGACCAAGATGCAGAGCTAGAAACTGTTTCTGTAGAAAAAAGAAGGAAAACAAAAAATAAAAGCATTGGAACTATCTGAAAAAGAACTTGAAAAAATGATATTTAGGTACCTTAAATTCATTGAAAGAAAGATCAAGAAAACTTCAGAGGAAAGCAAAGAAAACACAGAAAATAATGTTAGAATAATTCAGAAAAAAGACTACAAGAACAAACAGGCAAAAATAAATGGAAAATTAGAAGCAATAGAAACTCTACAAATAGAAATCCAGAAGATTAAGACTTAGGAATGGATAATACATGGAAAAGACAAAGGAGTAGATTTGAATCAATGGAAGCTTGAAGATAAATCTCTCGATACTAATATGTAGAAGAACAATCAAATAATAATAACACAAAATATCCAAAGAAAGCCTAAAATTTATGTGGGACACCATGAAGAGGAATAACTTACAGGTGATAGGAATTGCAGAACAGGAACAAGGAAAACCACAGAAAAATATTGTCAAAGAATTGTTGGAAAAAACTTCCCTAAAATCAAGGAAGACAAGAATATAATCATTCAAGAAGCTATACAGATCCCAAAAGAAACTCATCAAGATATATCATAATCAAACTCTTCAAAGCCAAAGACAAGGAAAGAATCCTGAGAGCAGCTGAGGAAACACTAAAAGTTACCTACAAAGGACACCAATAGACTAAGTTCTGGGGGTGGGGCTTGGTGGTAGACTAGGCAGAAAGGCTGTGAAGAACCCATAAAACACAGAGAACCAGAGGAAACAAATTAAGAGGATAGTTTCCAAACTCTGAATTTCAGATAAAGGGATGAATAAGCTGATCAAGGGCTTACAGGGAGTAAGATTTGGAACAGAAGCAAGAAAGGAGATGACTTCTGATTTGGGGTGACCAATATGTCCCATTGCAACCATTCTGAATGGGAGTGAGCAGATAGAGGGTCAAGAGAGCACTCCGATTGCAGAAACCTGATAGATCTGCAGAGATAAAAGTGTGAACCTGTCTTATTATTATTGCTTTTTCATTCTTTTCTTTTGCTCTGTCTGCTTATCTCCCCTCTGAGGTCCAGAAAAGAGACCTGTACAAGTGGACACCCCCAGAGAAGGTTCTGCTATGTGCATGGAAGGATCTGCACAGTGTGGATCACAGGGCAGAATTGATGGTGGAGAAGACAACAGGAAAAGCCTAAAACAGGAATCTTCCAAAGGGATTCTGACTAGCCCTGGGCTGATACTCA